CATGAAATATGGTCATGCTCAGGAAAATGTTTTTGGTAACCATATGTACAGTTTTGTTAGCATGTACATGTATGTGGACCCTGCACAATATAATGTTAAAAACCTTGAAGTGCAGGTGATAGGCAATGAATGTATGGGATGGCAGATGGCAACCTAGAAGTTTGCCAATTAACAGTCCAGGTTGGTTGCCTCAGGATTGGGAGGTTTGCCTGGTTAGAACGCCCAGAAGTGAAAGATTGGGCATGCAGTTTGTCCCAAAAGTGGACTATGAAATCCAATGCAGTACATGTAGTTTGCATTTGTGTATTCCTTAGAAATACGCTGTACAGATACATTTCCTACTGCAGTGATTGTATTATTGAGTTCCATATCCCTGATACCACAACTTGTAAGGTCAACTGAGCGACCTTGAACGTTCCAGGGGCATGAGGGACTGTAGCAACTCTTTTACCCTTCCCTACATGTACTTGCTGATGTGTCAATTTGATACACACCTGTACATGGTCACAGGTACAATGTAGGTACAGGTACCAGTTGCATGGTACAGGTGACCTCAACATGCACCTTTAGTCAACCTACGATGCATATATGGATACATTACTGTGAAATAATTTGCAAATGCCAGGGTGTAATTGTTGGTAATTCAAGAATATATTCAGGGTCCAAAAGTGTGACATTTTTGTGTTTCTGTTACATCTGACCTTTGTTATTTGACATGGAAATATCACTAGAATTGATTTCAAACTGTTACTATTTGCTTGGCAGGTACCTCTTGGAGATTATAAAATGTGTCCTGAACTGACAAAATCATACGTGCATGTCAGATGGGACAGGGCCACCAAAAAAAAAATAGAGCCCTAATTCCTGGAATTACCCTTGTGATTTTAGGTGGCATGTGTTGTGTGTGTGATTTTGGGCCTTTACTGGAATGAATTTACTACCCAAAAACCCTACCAAATATTGGCTGTATTTTTAGAGGGGGACAAACACTGCACCAGGAAAGGGCTTCAAGGGGGCATTTTTTTCTGATGGGAAATTCTGTAATTTTAGAAGTTCATGACCTGTTATGTAAATTGACAATGAAATACAAAGCCAAGATGTGTTTTCCTATTTCAATGTTGTGTTAACACAGTAATGGGCTTCTCCTAGTGTCAGTAGTGCTAAGTTGGACAAAATTTGTCTCCTGTGAGTCATATTCCCTACGAGTATTTTGAACACGATCATATCTCCTCATATTTTTAACTGTTGTAATCTGTCTGCATAGGGCATGTCCTAATTGCTCATCTTTGGACATTATCAATTTCGTTGATGTGTTTCAAATGATGTGGTTCCCAGATCTGATACATGTTAAGTGCAATCAAGGTACTCATTCGTAAGTCTAATGAAACCCATCAATGGAGTTAGCCTCGTTTATTTTAACAGCCATATGACTAGTAAAAGTCAGACTCTCATCAATGATAACACCAGGTTTGCTTTCTTTTGTCACTTGTCTTACTGATGTTGATCTTCACATCTTGGTTTCATGTTTGTTGTTTAGCTCCTTCCGCTGTTCTCCCAATCCTCATTTTTTAGCACTTTGTACATGTACATGTATATCGGTGAGATTTCATAAGTGAATTCTCTGTCTATCCCGTCAATCAGTTTGTGTCACGCTGAAGCATACATGTACATGTACCACAGTCCTCTTCTGAGAAGACACCTGTGAAGATTTTAGTCTCAGCAGAGGCAAAGCAACAAGTTCTGGACTGTGTCTGGTTGTGAATTAATCCTTATGACAAACAAGATGAGTCCTTAGAACTACTTTTTTTGAACCGATTATCTCCAGTGGACCTCATGAGTATTTGTGGAAGTTGCAACCTTTTGAAGTAAGTGTACAAGGGAAATATTCTCCATGTTTTGCTGTGTTGTGTCATGGCCTTTGATTGAAGTGCATGTAAGCAGTGATCTTGTTTGTCAGCACTTGAAGAAAATAGTCACGCCCTGTGAGGAATGCCAGTGTTGGGGAACAGTCTGTACTTGCTTTTGGATGCAAAGATCTGCCAGGGCTGAAAAAGCCAATTTTTGAATCAACTGTGTGGAACTGTGGGTGACAAACGTGCCAGCAAGGAGAAGAGACAGCATGCCAGGATGAATCTTAGCATGTGGGCTGTCAAGGACTTTTTTCCATCTCCCAGTGGTGAGCAGGACAGAAAAAAAAATTGGTTCTTCTTTTATGGCTGTTTGTCCCTGGTGTCCAGTGTGCATTGTGTAATGTTCTGGAAGAGAACATACATGTACATGTTGCTTTGCTTCCTTGTTCCTCTTGCTTGGGAAAATTATAATTAGCCCCACTGCCTGCCACAAGGCACCAGGGAAGTCCTGGTGTGCAATGCATGAGTACAAGATGAAATGGGAAAGAACTCAGAAAGTAAATATTTTGATCAGGAACAGGGACTCTGAACTTGTTTGTTAACATGTGTGAAAAGCACTGTATCCTCCGAGGACATTTGTTGATACTGTTGTGATTGCTGGCATTTGATCATACTGTGTGCCAGTATACTTGTGCACTGCACTTGTAACAATGCATTGCCCTTTTCTTACCATTCCCTTGGGGAAGTTATGTACTCTGACATGTGTAGATACATGTACAGTATTATGATTCTGAAACGGGTTGACATGGTTGAGAACAAAATCTGTGTTCAGTGGGCCATCTGGAAGGCAACAATGTAAGGACAGGCATTTGTTACATATCTACTCATATTTATGAATGCTCAGTCACACACTCACTGACCATTTGTTCTTGTAGTGTTGTCGTTAAACTAAGTAAATATCAGAGTCACCGACGGTTGACAAATGCATGGAAGGTAACAGGCTTGCAGGACATGGTGGCATCTCCTTGTCGCGAGGATTACTGACGTTACCCGTCACCCACCAGTGTTTCTCATGTTTTGCCTCTCCCGCATACTTTTCCATTTGTGTTTTATTTTGTTTTTAAATGGTCACTTTTCCCCACTTTGCACATACATGTATACAAAATTCATGCTCTTCCAGTAATCTAGATAGTCTTGCATTTATGCACTGTGCTAGCACAATACATGAATATTCATTATCACCTTTACCACTGGGCTTATTTGAAACCCTGATTCTTATATTTTGACAGAACTCTTTATCTTTCCTCATCTTCTTTCTCCTCATTGCTGAAGCTCAAGCCTAGAAACCAACTGTATTGAAAAGTTCATCGAGAAACAGCAAAGACTGGCACAAAGGGCATAATATCAACAAAGTGCCGTCGTTCTTGACAATATTCTTAACAGTAATGTGCACTAACCGTAGTTGAATAATACATGTATGTAGCACTTAGGTCTTTTATTGATTTCCAATCATGTTACATTTTTAGTCTTGAAATCTGGACAGGTACGTGTAAAAGCTCTTTAAAGGTAGTAAACACCATTGGTTTTTTGTCGTAATTTCACAAGATTAGCTGAAAACAGTGTATAACATTCACTGCAACTTGCATTCCACTCATTTGTTTCATGTTCGAGTCAATTGCTTTGTGAAAAATCGAGAGAAAAACAGCGCGGCATTTTCAACGCTTAAATCGAAGGTCTTGTAATTTATCTTGCTTAAAATCTATGGATTACAGGGTTTTATAGTAAGCGAATAACATCCACTGGGTCAGGATAAGAAACAGGCATGACAGATTCTCATTCCCTTAAAAAATGAGCAAAGATCAAAATGTCTAGTTTCTCGAAAACTACAGCATTCTGGCCGGATGTATTTTACAGACATAATGAGGCTGTTATGTATGGTACTTTCTTTCAGGTAAGATACATGTATTTCAGGATTATACGGTAGTCCGATTTGGGAGATTTTACCAATAGCGTGCACGACCTTTTCAGTTGCACAGTGTACATGTATGTTATACAGACTCGCTTTACATCATGATTACTTCTTGTCCTGGCATACATGTACTTGTACATGTATGCCTGGACATGTGAAAACTAGACTTACATGTACCATACCCGTACATCATTTGTCAATCTGATTGATCTGGGTGAATATAGGGCTTTTTTTTTGAAGGGGGTGTCTTTATCACAGTTGCTCAGCTTTGGAGATATCCCTCTTTCACGAAATTTATAACCCACCAGTTTCTGCGAAATGACCTTGTAACATTTCCACAGTACAGATGTGGGGCTGTACTGTAGTGCTTGGAATTTGGCAGCGATTCAGTCTTAGTGATAACAGTGTTCCACAGCAGATAAGTCTTGGCATGGAGGCCCCTTGGGGTTTTTGTGTGCAGTGAAGTTCCTGGAGGAGTATGGAACCAAACCTTCTCTTGTCACCTTAGCCACTGTTGCTTTACATGTGGAGTCTTTTAATGCACCAGGCAGGTCACTGCCAGGCAAGTTACTGCCTATGTGGATTACCCTGCATGATCAGTGTTGACATCGGGGCATTTACTGTCCTGTCAACAACGAGATCATTTCCTTGATGTCACTGTATCCAACCATGTACCTCTCCAATTCCAGGTGCACATTCAGTCAGATGCTGTTTACTTGCTTAAGGATTGGTTATACTGTATTATCCATGGAGATTATCTCTTTTAAAAATGGAATTGTTCACATCTTGTCAGTGACGAAATTTTCATTTTTTCGTTGGTGCCAACAACTGCACATTCTTGCACAGTCAGTCAAGACTTACTTATATGTAAGGTGAATTTCTCTCTATCGGGGAATGTATCTGCAGCAGCATTTCTCACTTGAAACTGGAATGACATCCACTATAATATTGACTCGTGTAATACCTATTTTGGGCGCGCAAATGTTTGTAATAATTGGAAACATTTCTAGAAAGTTTGCATTCTGATGGAGGTGATTGGGAGTACGGTACCTGTGAAACAGTGGGAACTACTCAATTGCAATTCCATTCAAAACACCTGTCAGATTTCCACTTTCCTGGTGCAAAGCAAACTATCTCAGTCAGTTGATATTCTGTTGTTTGTCTTCCTGATATTTTGACAGAGATGGCAACGGCGTTGGTTCATCCTGAAGCGCTCTGCAAATGCCATCTACTTGCAATACTACAAAGACCAGCACACTACCCGGCCCAAGGGGACCATCGACCTCACCACCTGCGAGCAGGTGGACCAGGGCCTGACTTTTGAGTCCAAGCGTAACTTGGCCAAGGCCTTCATATTTGACATCGTGACACCCAAGAGGAAGTACTTCCTCGTCAGCAACACTGAGCTGGACATGATCCGCTGGGTGCGCGAGATCTGCCTGGCTTGTGGCTTCCAGTTGGACAACCAAGGTAACGCACTCTAATTGAGCCCTCATGTACATGTATGCAAGAATTGGAACCAGCATTTGGGGTTTGAATTAGAGGTGTGTATCTGGACTGGGTATCCAAGTATCCAATTACAATGTTGACTGTTGATTTCAAGAAGCGGTTGAAAATCATAGGACTGAGTACTTTAAAATTTGCCAGCATTACAAATTATTACATTAATTAGTAACTTCTCAGACAGTAAAATGAAAGTTTTTGTGGGTAAGATTTAAACAGAGACAGCTGTACATGTACATGTTATTTAGTTTTCGGTGTCCTCTGAATGTTGAGGAATGTGTACCTGCTTCCTCCACACAATCAGTTTGAATTGCCTGAAATTGTACCTTCAGGCTAAAGGGCAATTATGGCATTACAGGTGCACTGCAAGGGGTCATCCATTTTATCATCATTTTTAACCACACACCCTGTCATCAAAAGAATATACAAGAAAATTATGATGGCTTGTCGTCATTTTGCACAGTTTTTGAACAGCGCATGCAGGATGTTAACCCATCCTAGGTCAATGTTTTTCATGCTTATGGAAATGACACAAGCATAGATAACCCCTGAATGAAATATCAGACTGAAGTCAGTCTTGGAAGTTCGTTGTCACTTGGGTGTAATTCGGAATTTGCTTGATGAAGAAAGATTCCGCCATCATTTGGCCTTGGTGTGGTCTTTGATAGGCTAACGGTGTGACATTGCTTTATCATAAGTACATTTACATACATGAACACAGGAAACCTATGATTTGAGGCAGCTTGGGCAGAACACATGCAAAACATTGCTATGAAAATCGTATTGAACTCTGTGTACATTGCACATGTTGATGGCTCCACAGAGTATGCTTGTCTAAATTACCATTCATGTTCTGCATGGACATGTTTACAGCAACGTTCGTTTATCAAGTTTGGATCTATTTGGTGCTATATCATCATTTCCATTTACTAGGGGTTGCATTTCACATGTGACAGTACCAGCACACATAATTACTGAGCTCAGTGCAACTGTCACAGATCATCAAAAGATTTAAAACAAAAACAAAAAAGAAGAAAAAGAATCCATGCATCTGAATCACAGCAGATGTCAACTTGGGCAGAAGTGAAGTTTGCATTTGTGTCAGTGCCCATTTTTGGCCCTTGGGTGCAACTGCATCATAGGACCCATTGACACATACATGTATGTATACCCATGCTAGTTGTTTGTCTGGTACATGTATCATCATGAGGCCTGGTGGGTTTGTTTTCCCACTTTTTGCCAGGAAGCCCTAGTGCCTTCCGGTGGGAAGCAGTAACTGGCTGTGTAATTTGTCAAGGATGTCAACAACAATGTTTCATTTCTGTACCACTCTGAACCTGTTGTACGGTAAACTCCTCAACAAGAGAAAAGGCTGTGAAAGTAGTTCCCGTTGAGCAGGGACCCGACATTATTCCGGTAGCTCACTCTGTGGAGCCATTTTACTGTCAGCAGTTGGCTGCCTTGGTGCTTTGATATGACTGCCTAATTACACTTAAGCCCTACCCAACTTGGCTATGGCCTAAGGTATACCACTATCCAAATTATCCTTGGATAGGTAAATGACAGTAGCATTGCCGTGTCAAGGCCACAGTGAGTTTCTAAATCTTGGTAGCATGCATTTATCAGTGTATGGTAATGTGGTATTGCCTTGCCTTCATGTTACTACCCTTGTTTGTTGATGTCCAGATGACGACTCGACTGTCCAGCCTGCTGAACCCTCACAGCCAATCAACGTAACACCGTCCCGTCTGAATGAATACACTCCGCGACCATATCCAGCCTCTGTGCCCACGGAGGCCTCTGAATCCTACATCCCTCTGGGTGAGTGCGAGAGTGGGAAGAACAGGGACCTGTCACAGAGTGTTCCCGTCAACGGGGGTTGGGACAGCATCGGCCACCGGCAGGTGAATTCCCAGGACCTGGATCCCAGGAGGTCGCGCACAAGCAGTTCGGGGAGCAACTCCAGCATTCCAAGTGAAAATGCCCCTTTGCCACCCCCCTCAGAGACTAACCCTGCCATGATGGAAAACTACGACATCCCGCCGGCTTTACAGAGACTTAGCGGTGGCAGCATGCAGCCCATGTATGACATACCACCTGCTCTCCTGAGGCGAGAACCATCATTTCAGAACCAGGATGACATTTACAAGTCTGTGCCCGTTCCTCGTCGGGCAGACTTGAACACTGTGCCAGATGAACAGAATCAGTTGAATGGGAATGCGCATGATTTGTACTCTGTGCCGCCCTCCCACAGAGGGGAGGCTGGCGGACTGTACGATGTTCCACCAGCGCACTCTCTGATCAAGAACCAAAACAAGGAGATGAGCTCGTCAACCGACAAACTTGCCCAAGACTTCCAGCAAATCTCTGTCCGCAACTCAAGGGGTGCTTATGATGATGCCGCCCTGGACCTGTACAGTGTACCCCCATCCAGAAACACCTCAGACCCATTTGCTTCACCTGATAGCGGGTCACAGACAAGTGCTACCCCTCCACCCCGACCTCCGAAACTGAATCACGCCTCTGCCACTAACATCGAGACCCAGGCCATGCCAACTCCTCCCAGGCCACCCAAGCCCCAGCACTTGAGGCCTTCCACCCCTCCGCCTAGCTTTGATGATACGTACGCTGTGCCACCCAGCCATTCCAGACCTGTCCCGTCTCAAGAGCTAATCGGGAGGCTCATTGAAGCCCCAATTTACTCCGTTCCGCCCTCTGCTAACTTGGAAGTCAGGCCTGCACCAAGCGGACACCAGTGGCTGGACAGCAAGGTACCCACACCTGGAGGATCAGGTAATGTCAAGAATGCTGGACAGCACATGCCGCACAGTCTGTTTGAAAGTTAACACTGTGAATTGGAGTGAGGATATTTGTAAAAACAATTCACATTCACGCATCCCACAAAGCATGAAAATAATTTCCTCCTGCTGTGAAAATGTTTGAAATCTTTTCCTACTTGGGTGAAAATCTTCCCCCACTTTGGTTAAAAGTTCTATGGTGTAATTTCCTGGGAAGAGAGTAAGTGTGCAGAGAAATCCCTATTCCCTGGTTAACTTTCAATTTCAATGTACTGTACATGCATAAACAAACTTTTATTGAAAGAGAACCTAAGTCAGTATTGTTTATCTGTTTGTGTGTATAGTACAGTACAGGTCAGAATTTTAGCCGACACGCAAACATGCTTAGCGTGTCAGTGTGTATCAAGTCAAACAGACACGAAAGGAGTTAACCGCAAACACAAAACATGCTGACTCCCGCATAACAGAGAACGCCAACACTGCAATCTGATCTACTGATCATAAACATGCACGCGCTACACGCAAACCCAAGAACAGTCAGGCCTTCGTTGACCAGAGCAGTCATTTTCATAGTTTCCCACAATGAAAAGTATTCAGTTATGTATGCAGCAGGCATCACAAAAACATTTTCAAAGACAAAGCGTTTTGTTTGTCCATACAGGATCATTGAAAGTGCCAAGCGGGCAACACTTCTTGGTTTATGTCTGAATTGCTCCCAAAACTTCTGAATCAGGCACAGAAAAGATTCCAAGCATGAAATCAATTTTTCAACTGAGACAATTATAACTAGCAGTTTTTATGACAAAACATTTCCTAAATTAGAGAAAACTAGTTTGTAAGAAATTCACAAAATACAGACAGGGTTTGAACTCGCCAGTCTGCCAAATTTTATTTTTAGTCAAGACGGCCCCCACGGCAGCAATCCTAGCATACGCATTGATTGTTGCCGTCCTCGCACTCTGTGTGTTGAAAATCGCATGAATATAAATTCAATGTGAGGTAGGTATTTTTCCCATCAGTTTTCGACCTTTGAGCTGGAAAACCTACCTAAAAAAATGGCTCTGATTGTGACAATATTGGAACCAAACTGAACGGCAAAGATCGCACCAAAATGAAAAGAAGTCGGTTCTGCACTAGCGACGTGCATGCACTGGCTGCGCACAACGGACAGAGTAGCACCCATGTGAACGTCATAAATATGCATGTTGCATAACGTGAAAGGACTGTAGCTTTGCATTTGTTGGTGCTGTATCAAAATGAATATGCAATACACTTGTTAAGATTTATGATTGGTGGTTGTACAGTAGTTTCGTGATTGCTGGGTCACGGCATTGTCGCGGCATGGTCACGGCAATGTGGCAGCAGATGAAAAAGTCAAGTTGGAATGTACACAAGTTCAGTGGGTCTTTGTAATTAGATGGAATTCTGATACATGAACTAAATTTTCATAAAATAAGAAATGCTTCGTTGTAAAATCGGCTTGGTATAATAGTTCTGGCTGAGGAATGAATTTCTTTCGTGATTACTGTTTATTTGTGAAAAAGGTTTCTCCCGCAATTAGAACCAGCAAGAAAAGCGTCTTCGTTACTCCAGTCGATCCCGTGAGTTTAAAATTCAGTGTTTACATTTGGGAAAAAGTTTTGTAGTTGCTAAACACACACGGTGGACTACTGGCCAGTTTCAGATGGGATTTCAAGCTATTCATGGTGACAGACAACTATTAAGGTGGAAAGCTTGCGGTAGCACCATGCAAGGATACGATCTCTTTTGTGAGTCTGTATGGTTCTGAAGAGTTCCTCATGGGTTCTTTTCAGAACCATACAGACTCACAAAAGAGATCGTATCCTTACATGGTGCTACCGTAAGCTTTCCAACTTAGTGGCCAGTTTCACTGAAATTTGACATTTTCCAGATGTAATCCGACTGAACAACTTTTGCGATCCAAAACAAAAGAAAACGGACTAGATAGTGATACATTTACGGTCATCTTGCCAGCCAGGCGCTACATGGTACATGTACGTGATTTCACTTCTTCAGTGCACTGCCATGCAGTGTACAGTACATGTACATGTATATGTATACCGTGTGCATGCATACACGAAGCTGGAGCGACAGCTCTGCGTATGGAGTGGTTCAGTGCACGTTGTCGGTCACCTTTGCGGTCTGCTGTCACAAGCCCTGCTGAGATAATAAGGTCCGGGGTCAGGCTTATTGTGCATTGGACCTGGACCAAAAACTGCAAAGCGTGCATTGAACTCAGGTTCACTGATTGTGTTAGCGTGTCGACTAAAATTCTGACAGGTTCCGTATGTGGTATTTGTGCAAGTCGAAACGAAAATGCTGATGATCCCCATACTTACCAACCTGAAGACGTTAAAGAAATTAAATTCACTTCTACTTAAGGTAGGGTAAGTGACTAAAAGTCATTTGAAATACATGTGCTAGCATATCTGGATTTTTGCACCGTAATCTGCCGACCTTGGAGGTCCCTTTTCACTAGTGTCAGTAGGTAATATACTCTACAGTACAGTAACTGATGTTGCCAAAAAAAAACACATGCCTGAGTTCTTGTGCGCAGGAAATCTCTTCCACTTGCATTTCCTGTGACATCATAATACTGTATCCGTGTACACGCGGACCAGTTCAAGATTTCGTGCAGAGAATATCGAGTGTTTCTGATGTCATAATACATGTACATGTACATGAACCTTGGCAGTAAGTGATGCCGCATCACATACATGTGCCTATATCACCTGCTTAATCCACCCCGACTTTAAGCGTCCCCTCCTTTGGCCAGTGGGAGTAGTTTCATCTGGATATGTACATGTAGCATGCTTGTGGAGACTGTACAAGTGCATTGGTCACCTGTACACAGCAGTCCCACGTCAAATGGACATAAATCTGTACATGCACTTGGTTAGTTCAACAAGTTTTGTGCTCCAATCTTGCCAAAAGTGAACCAAAAAGGTGAAGTTTACAAGCTAACATGTTTCCTGTTTTTTCATGTTAGGCCTCACAACAAACATATTCAATTTATAAGTACCGGCACACATATTTGCCAAGATTAAGATTTCACTGGAAAAAAAGGGAAATTGCTAAATGACTGGCAAGTAGAGTGCACGTCCTGGCACATGTACATGTACGTATGTGACATCATTAATTGATTTTAGAGGATTGATGAGGATTGAGACACAGTAAATTAGTGGGTATCATAAAGTTCAAGTCGGCAAAAGCCAATAAGGTTAGGGTTGATGTAAAGATGCCATCAATGACTCAACATTTTCCAATCTTCTGCTCCCAAATGACAGACTATCGATACATCAACACCAGCAAGTCTGCAAACCGGCAGTCAGTCCCTCCTAAATCAGCAAGCTTTATACACCAGCCAGTCGCCCCCCCTCCCCGGCAGCTGCCAAGGTCAGCGACGATTGACCTGGACAGCCGTTACATCCCGTCCCCGGTGGCTCAGCAGGAGAGCTACCTGTCCATGGATGGCAGCAGTGACTCCTCCAGCGTGTTCCAGTACCCGGCCAGTTCGGCCTACATGGCCATGGAGGGCACCAACAGCAATGGGGGCCCAAGACTCGATGGTCGCTCACTCTCAGAATCCCAGCCCGAGACCTACGCCACCATGAACCCCGGAGTGCCCCTCCAGAGAAGGTCCATGCCTATTGTGGCTCATCGGCACACATTCTCTGGCGGTGAGAGACCACCTCCTATTGACCGCAGCTTGAAGCCAGACAGGAAGATAAGCGAAGGAGCTGTTCGTAAGTTGGAGTCTTTATACTGTGTTCAGTTCAAAGCTTTTGACTCAACATCCATTTAATTCCAGGTCTTCAAGTTCTGTTGATATACGTTTGTACATCCCTGTGCTTTTCTCAGAAAAAACTAAAACAAAAGCCTGCTAAAACGTGGATGAAATATAGCGTTAAAATGGGCCATTGGCTTACATTACAGATGACTGTGTTTTGACTTAGATGGAAGTGAACCGATTTCAAGGCACTTGATAACGAATACCATTCCGAACAAAGGCAAACCTGTCAAAGTTGTGGCTGAACTTCTACAGTTGGACATGAAGTGAGAGGCAGCAAATTCTTGTTTAATTATGTGACTGACAATTTCAACTGCATTCACTGCTTTTCGTTCTGCTGCTAGGGTCCACCGACCACATCGGAATGGAAGGCAGTTTCTATGCAACCAAGGAGAGCCTGAGGCCACTCCCTGACTTGAGGCCCATCCAGTCAGACAGGACTAGGAGCTTCAGTAAACGGCCGGGCTCATACGAGTAAGTTGATGATGACAGTGGGCACTTGGTGCTTGTTCAGATGCTAAGCATCCCAAGGACATGGCGATTGGTTCCTGTTCAGCACCAGTAGAGCACTGCAGTCCAGTGGTAATGTTGTTTGACTCACACAGTGGTATATGGGCTGAAACCATAGAGTTATATATAACAACTAGTGTGCTAACTCAGATACAGGGTGATGCCTGCTGGGTGCATCCATGTTTGTGCACAAACCTATGGAAATCTCGAAAATTTGCAAGGCGTTTGGTATGGTTATTTGCATACTTTTATCTGCGTCTGTATTCTAATGTAATACATACAGTAAATGGGAATTTCATTTTACTCTGTGCTAGCAATGAGTGTGCGTATGGGCTGCAGATAGCCCAGTTGGACTCCCTGACCGTACTACGTTACAGAGGGAGTCAAGGGTATAAAGGGTGCAAAATCGGGCGAAACATTTTATAACTAAAATTTGCAACATTTCTACCTTTTTCAAGGAGCCAATTTCATGTCTGTAACTCCTATGCATCCTTATCTCCACGGCTGGTGGGTGAAGAAATTCGACATATCACCACCAAAGACAAACACGGGAAAATGTGGTCGGACGTAGCGTTACTTTTTGCCATTGTTGACTGTTTTTAGCCATTCTCCAGTGCAGTTTGTACAGTGTATTGGGCATACAAGATTCCGAGCTGCGTACACGCACATCAAAACTTCATGTTTTGACTGGAACCAGCGAAACTGAAGTCTAACCGAACCCACTCGTTTCGAAAATACTCACATAAAGCACGTAACGCTCAATGTGGTTTTCAACCACGGGTACCATTGATCTCCATGCTTGGTACACACAACATCGAGCTGGGGGCCGGGCGAGGCTGTGGCGTGCGTTGGTGACAGTTGGCCTAGTTACGTGCATGCAAGCTGAGTCTACTATGACCATTACGGGAAAGCTAAAATTCATGATTTATACAAATCCTGGCCATTTTTTAGCATGTACTATGTGTTAACAGGTGGACTTGAAATAGACAGACAAAAGGTGTCCGCAAAATTCAATATAGTTTAGGGACTCCCAGCAGTTCCGTGTCGAGGGGAGAAGGCATTAAATCCAGCAAGGCTTTGGCACATTTCTGTTGCTAGCAATTTACTCATATCAGTTAATTTGTCCTATTTTAAGTTATACCGAATTCTTTTTTTAGAGACGGAGAACTTTTCCAAAATGCACAGGCTCAGATAAGTATTTTTAAAATAAACTAGACTGATATGAGAGTCAATAACGGCGATTAACAATCTCTTGGGCCTGAATTTAAAAACGAAAAATCACCTATTTTTAGATTGAGTCTTTTGATATTGCACATTGTTGGGGATCCGTCACCCGATAACCAGACAGAGCTCCAGCATGACCATAAATGTCAACCTCCCATGCCTATGAAATTTGAGCCCACTGACAAAACTTTTCAGGGACATTTCTTCACTGGTGAAAAACATTGAAAAGAATATCGGCAGGCACTTCAAGCAATTACATATTACACATGAATTTGACTTTCTAGCTGTTTGATGTAGGCCTACGTGAGGCTGAAGGTTTTAAAAGAGCATCTCCCCAACCCCCCCACCGTATTATTATGAATTAGGAGATTTTTAAAAACTCCCACACAGACTAGCTATCTGCTCATTGCTCTAAAATCCAACTCATCACTTCCAATTACCAATTCAGTCTGCTTAATGTTTGTTTAGTTTACAAATAAAAAAAGGACAGGCCGATTAACAGCACAATTTGTGCGTGATCACTACTTACTGCACGTTTTCTCTCACTTATTTGCCTCGACGGATAGATAAAGCCACAAAGAAATTTCAAATGTGAAAAATTAGTTTCTTCAACGAGGTAAAGCAAGAACAAATAAGAACCAATTTTGTGGTCGTTTTGTACACCAATTTTTTACCTTGGACGTCAATCGTAATGAAATGAAGACAACATCCAACCTGGGCTAGGGCCACGGATAAATTTTGTCGTGACCTTTTTTCAGAGTTTGTTGGTACCGAATGCGCATTGCATTTAGAGTACATTATTCTATCTGATTTTCAATATTCTACAAGGACGCACGTGGATTCGAAATGTCAATGCCCAGGACAGCGTCAAATTTTCTCCGCGCAGAGAATGAATAGTTAGCGCTCCAGTTATTCAGTATAGCTCTGTAGCTCAAACCCTGTAGTGTTGGTTTTCCTTGAACAAGATACTTTACTACAACTGCCTTTCTCCAACCAGAATTATTAATGAGTACATGTGAGGTAAGAGAGCAGGTTATTCTGATCTTGAGCTGGTTCTGAAAATTAAGCTCCAGGGGCAGTTGACTTGGGTAACAATTGTCAAACTCTTCGACACCCCTGCAGAGATGTAAAATGCTACATAAGCACCACACATTAAATACTGTTATTGTACAGTTTACCCACTCTTGTGGCTAACAGCTGAGCAGTGATGTTTTAGTGTTTGAAAAAAGAAGCAGGACTACACTAGTGAATACGGCTTTTACACTGGGTGTCATGCATACACAAAAATAGAAACACTCGATGCTTTTGGTGATGTTAGGCAAAAAAATATGTTTTTGTTACGCAAACAGGTTTGATTCAAACAGTCACCCATCTCGCTTTCTCTCCTGTCAGGAATCAGAGGCTGGACACTGACTCTGATTTGTTCCGTGGACGCAGCAACACGGGAGACAGCACAACCTCGTCTTCGGACGATGACATGTACAGCCCGGGAGAAAGCGACTTCTACTTTCCTCGTCCAGTGCCACCTGTTCCTGAAGAGGACACGTACATCTACAAAGACGTACCGGGTGTGGGAGGACTTCCAGAGGTAGGTGAGAACTGGAGGGGAAATGTAGGATCCTCTCTACAGCTTGCTGGCTTTGGATTGGAGATGGTCCACCAGGTTTGACTTGAAAGCTTCATCCCTCGTTCGCCACTCTCAACTTTCATTTGAACATGTGGATAAACCCTTTTCAGTTCCTATGTTTGGTGTGTTTATGTTTGCTCTCGAAGCATCAGCACTGCTGACTCTTTTCCACCGAGCAGGCTTACAAGGAAGTAGAAACCAGAGCATCTTTATGCCAAAAACAGATGTTGACATCAGTCTCTTTTAAAACCAATGTATGGAAACGTCGATTATTTTGCAATATGCTCTCTGTCGTGTCTGTTTATCTCCCTGTTATGAAGATAGTCATTGTGTAATCAAGAAGGTAGTTCCTTGTTAAAGGTACCTGCATCCAAGTTTGCCGAGGTCCTAATCTGCAGACAGTGCTTAGTTTCAGTTTATGCTCTCAGCAAAAATTGGGTCTAGAACCGCTTCACGGACAGTATTCATTGCATGATGTCTTAGCTGGTAACCTGTCTATGCTAAACCAATGTTCTTTTATTTTCGGCATATTTCTATGGCAAGCAGCTCAGGAAACTACTGTGTGTGTGTATATATTGTTTCTGCAGCATCCCATTACAGAAGGCCTGTCCACTACGCCCATTCCTGCCTCCCTACCTTCCCAGCAGAATGACGAGATAGAGTACCTGGAGCTCTCCCATGAGGAGGAAGCCCGTCAGCCGCCCCCTAGGCCCCCCAGGCCCAGCTCCCCAACGGTGGAGTACATCGACCTGGACCCAGACAAGACACAGGCCCTGCGGTTTGTGACGGAGAAACGCGAGGAGGAGAAGGATGGGAGTATGTCGGGGCGCAGCACACTGACAAGGAGAGATGTATAGGGTTGACTCATATCCAAGCTGTAAAAAGGTAGGGCCTACAGGCACCTGCTGTGCTGTAGATACTCACCAAGCAACGGATGTAATCCAGTCATGCAGTCATAGTAAGCAAGGTTTCATTTCTCATTGGCTTTAGACCACAGACTGTGGGGATTCTTCATCATTGTGGGTGTTTTCCGTACATATTGACATGAAATCTTTAGGAGTTGACCAGTTCTGAGTCAGTTTATGCTTTGACAGACCTTCCTGGTGTGCATTGAAAATCCCTCTAATCAATTGAGAGCATGTTTTATTTGTTTCCTTGTATGAGCAACATCAGCATATCTTATGAGATGAGCAATATCTACATCCATCAGAACACTGTTTCCCTTTCGTATTTATCATTTGCTGTCTTGCGTAAATATATGTAGCTGTGCTTGGCACAAGCAGCAACATGACCTAGCAATGCACAGATGGAACAATGATAAATTCACTCACCTATGGAACAGGCCTACAGCAGTCCATTTTTGCGATAGGACTGCACCATGCATTGGGATGAATAATTCATGACTGTGAACAATACTCTCCACCAATCAGATAATGGGGATTTCTTCAGGCATTGTATGCGCCCCATCCACTGACATAGAGAGGGAGGTTTGGCCACATGATACATTGTAGCCACTGTCGATGAGTGCTCATTGCAGACAAAACATTGTGAGCACCCCATGCTAAGCCTGTCCAAACAAGAACACACACGTGCAGGGTGTGTCATTGTCAAAGGCGCCCTCATTAGGTACTTGTAATGTGGCAATATCTTTTATACGTACAGTAGATTCGTCAAAGTCGGATTTTCCTTAATACCTCAGATGAAATTGCTTAGAACATTTGATTTCTTATGTTGTTCTTAATGAAATTCTTTGCCTAAGTTGGATCGCGAAAGTCAGATTTTCACTTTTCTCAGACAGATCAACCTGGAACATTTGTTAAAATACTGTATTTGTACCTCGTTTAAGTCGGGTTTACACAAAAATATTTTCGTACATTTATTCATTCCAGGAAACAAAGTGATTTTTGGAATTTTTGGTATTTTCCGTCCAAATCAATTATTTTGGCTCCTGCTCCACTAACCCGAGATCTACTGTACTGTACATGAAGCCCTGACCACTCACCTACCATGTGTCTGTCCAAAACAGCAACAATGCAAAACATGGATGAATTCAAACTGAAGGACAGCAAACAGACCAGGGACAAGTACTTCCCTCTCTGGAAATTTGCACTGGTCTGCAAATGCAAAGCTACTAGAATGCAGGAGCAGTGACGTTAGATTTTCCTTAAGTCACTTGGTAACAAGCTCATCCAATTACTGAGGATGCTTATCCCGTTCCCAAATCCTCACACTTTGCCCTGCAGGTCTCCTGACAGGGGACATATTGACCGGTATCATTTTGAGAGATGACATACAGATATATGCTTGCATGTATCTCATGAAATAAACAAAAGGTGGAAATATTTTTGTGATACATAATGGGATTGTTCAAAGTTGATTTCAGAATTTGACAATATGCCGTTTATCTGCTTAATTACCGTGTATGCAGTCATGCAGCTTGACTTTGTGTTGCATGCAATACTCATACATATAAACAGAGTGTTCGACATAATTTATATAATGCTGTGAAATACTTACATTTGTGTGGTGCATGCTTCATGAAGACTTGGCAGTTTTTCTGAATCCGAAGCGATGTCCTCAATTCTAGCATGATGATACTTAAATGGCCAACGACTTCATTATCATCTAAGGTGTCAAGGATTTCTTGTTGAATATACTTTTCTGATTCATCACATCTAAATGTGCCAAATTTTCTAATGCCAAGAAAGTTTCATTTAAACCATTGCATTACAACAGGAAAGCCTGTTGGCATAGTGAGTAGTATGAAAGGCAGATTACCTGAACTTATATTTCATTTTGAATTTGTTACATTTCAAACAGTTCTTTTAAGCTGATACAAATACGGTTTGAACTCACTTAATAAGCCATTTGCGAGTTAAATTTGATTAAAATCTGGTATACCGAGTTCTTTAAATCCACGTGAACACAACAGCTTGAATTCTCCATACTAAAACCATTGTTGCTATACCTCGTGATTCGGGGCAAGCTTTTGCTTAGTTATGTAAGAGATGCCTTGCAACAATACACTCTTCTCAACAGATAAGAACGGCACAAAGGAACCAGTCCAATCCAGAGATTGTGGTCGCTATGCTAAAGCTTGCCCCGAATCACGAGGTATAGCAACAGTGTCTTTAGTCTGGGGAATTCAAACTGTTACGCTTCTATGCAATCAGATAACCAGATTTTATTCAAATTTAACTCGCAAGTGGCTTATTGTGGCATACATGTATCTACTGGTATTATTTGATTATGGATTTCTGATGGTTAGTATAGTCATTACTCAATATCAATCCCACACTGTCCAGCATTTTGTGAAGACTGTAGATTCCAGACACGATTGATATCCAGATTTTTAGTCCAAAAAATTGCCATCAGGCTGCAGTGATTAACATGGCAGATTCAAAACGAACAGTGTTCTGTGAAAAAATACTTCGAAGGTCATGTGAAATCACAGCTTAGTTTAGTTTCTATTTTATTTAGGTTTGGGGTTAGTACATGAATATTGATTATATACCCACAGTCACTTTGTTTACACAACTCAGAATATGCATTGTCATCTTAATGAGACGTCAAAAGTGAATTCAAGGTACATGTATTTGTACAAGTCCTTTGTATGTGTATTTTTTATCCAAGAAACTTGTTAACTGTAATCAGTGTACTCAAGTACAGGGCATTAACCAAGAAGGCTTAGATTACATTAGATATTTGTACTTTTTAAATTGTGGATGTTTACTTCCACTCTTGCTGAGTGAAGTTGATGCAGTTTCTTTGAGAAAACACATTCATAGTTGATCACGCAAAAAAAATGTTTGTTACAGCTGTAGTTTAAATCATGAAGGAATCATCACATATGCTCTGCAGGATTTCTAAAAAACCAAATTCTGAATAGTTGTTGGCCTCTCCGAATGAGTTCTTTGTAGATGTGACTAAAAATTGTTCAAATTCTTGTTAGTTTATTAACCAAACTGATAAGGGTGTCTTTTTTGCTGTTTATTTTATTGTGATATGAGAACTTGGGAGGTGCAAACAAAATCACAGAGTTTCAACGGTCATTTTTTTTCCATTTCAAATGTTAAGTAGTTCATGAAAGTAAACGTAGCAAGAGAGTCAAATTTTAATTACTCTCTAAAAAGAATGAATTACCGAGGTATGTTAACGATTGCTTCGGGAGGGCAGACATGAATGTGTGGTATTCTGACAAAGTTAAACTAATGTTTCTTTTTACTGCTAGATCTATGCACAAGTGTAATTTCCCATTCCCTATGCATTTTGAAATAAAGCATGTACTGTACTTATCCTTGAGATCAGGGTCATTTCTGTACGTCATCTAATTTGGCTCATTTTCTATGAAATATTGCTTGTAAGTGTATCTTTTGTAGATTTTGCATCAATGTACATTTACTCTAATATCACTAAACAGTGATCCAAACTCAGAAAATCACGCAAACCAGAACAAAGGATTGGTGCAGAGAATTTGAGTAGCTTTATTTGAAATGCATCTGACTTGTCTCCACTCTAGTCAACTGTTTGGATCCCTACCACTGACCAAGAGACATGCACGTAGTTGCATTTCTGGTACACATTAGTGGTCGTAGTTGTCAGGAAGCACAGGGAACCGTTGACATGGAAATCAGTTTATGAAGTGGTTGTGACCAAGTAATCAAATGAGGAATGAAATACTCCCTTTGACAAGGTGGGACTATGATTTTTCACAACATTGGTTTGACTACGTGTAGGTACATGTAATAGGATTTTGCAACACTTTCACCCTTGTCAGAAGATTCTCAGTACTGGTAGCTAACTTACTGAAGTATGTTTACATGACAGACCTTACTTTAATTTAAAGACCTGACTCCTGTATAACCTATGCATGTCTTCATTTGTCAAAAGTGGTACAAATTTCACAGTTTCTAGAAGTGTTTGACCCAGAATGATTCAGTCCTTCAGTTATGCAATCAGAAGACTTCCCTAGGCTGGAAAGCATAGTTTGGACTGAAGTAAGAAGAGAAAAAATATTGAAACAAAGTTTTGTGCGGTTGAAACAAAATTTTGGTATGGTATAGACTAGCACTTACACCAATTTAAACTGCCCAAAATGAAATCTGTACATGTCTGATTGTGCATGTCACTCCGTTATTAACAAATTCAGTGTTTGCTAGGGCAGTAACTAGTACATGTAATTGTAAATACTTTGCAATTAAATTTGTGGCTATGTCATGCATGTTCCTTTCTCATGATATATTTCATAAGGCATACAATGTACAGTACTAAAATTTCTTTTTCTATTAGGTAAACCAAATTTTATTGTATTAAAGTACAGAATTATTTTACTCCAATGTTACTGCTTATCCTGTGCATGTAAATAAATTACTCAGTACTTGGTTGAGATTGTGTAAGACTGATTTGTAGAATGCAGGTAAATTGTACATTTAATGGAATCTAAATGAAAGGCAGACAAGAGTGAAAAAAACAAACAAACTTGTACTTGATTTGTGCTTTGAGAAGCAAGACCATTGGTATATTGTATACTGTTAAAATGTTTATTTTGATGATCATTTGTGTAAATTGTCAAAAGGGAAAAGCACAACTTTCGTGGAAATATTTAAGATTTAAAGTCATGAATCAAAAGACCTAAAAGAAAGTGCCATCAGCTGGAAGACTATGGCCACCTTTCCATGTGCACATTTATTTGGTCGGGTCATATCATTTGCTGTTTGACTCCCGTACAATTTCAATGAAAGCTTCTCTGCAATTGGCGCAACAGATGCGACGCACACGGAAAATGTGCACATGGAAAGGTTCTGTAAGTCATTTACTCAGTTATATACAAATTTTCCCTGAGACAGAATTAACACTGATTTACCTTACTTTGTGTATACACACATACTGGCACTGTAGTGGAGGGGGGGTGGTGCTAAAACTCAGTCCTGAATTTCCTAACAAAAGTAATGGCCTCCTCACTGCCAACCAGGGCTGGTACATGTACACTGTGGTTGCGTGTTTTCAAAAGTGTCCAAATAGGGCAGTCATTTGCCCTAGTGATACTGTGCACTGGTTAAATAACATCTATCAAAGAGGAGCTGAGAAACCATGAGAAGGCTGGGACATGGAGTGTCGAGTGCAAGCAACTGTTCACATAACTTGCACCTTTCAGTAATATCTGTAATATCAAGGGTACAAACCTAGTACCAGCTCTGGCTATCTTTACTATTTGTAAACCAACTTTGTGTCTCTACTGCCCTTGTGTGTATCTATTGGGTGCACGCTCCAATGAAAACTGAATGCTGTGTGTAGTTTAAGACTTTCAAAGAAAATGTTTGTCGGTATGGATTATGTGAGGATCGGAATTTCACTGTGCATTGCTTGTCTTCAGTAGTGGTTGGTTTACTAGAAAGCTGTGCCAGTCTTCTGATTTCCATGTAAACTGAATTTGTTTTGTATCATGTATCCGCAGACTGAAATTACAACTTAAGTGACCAGTTTTGAATTGTCATTGGAGTGTGCTGGACATATCCACCTTGGCCTGGTGAATGTTTATAAGCAGCCAAATGATGCCAAAATGGCTGTAATGTGCGTTTGCTACATTGCGTGTTTGTTTTTTGGTTTTTTTTTAAAGCAGCAACGCAGTGATAGAATGGTACATCATTAAACAAAGCAGCCAAGGAACTTTTGTGTAACTTTGAATTTGTTCAGTGTGACTTGTTATTTCTGGTTGTGTCTCGAGTGGAGGTGATGCCCTTTTCGAAAACAGGCAGGGTGAGATTTGACCGCTTGCCAAGATAATTATCATGAAAGGATTCAATTCTTTCCAATTATTAAAAATATGAAAATTCCATTAACTTCTTGTATCTTTCTCAACAGTTAACTACACCTCATTGACTGCATTCACATGCCTTGGGTAGACTTACAGTAATTTCATACACCGCTTCTTTCCAAGGAAATTTTTCCCATTAAAACAGCAGAAAGTTGTTCGAATTACTAATCACCATCTACTTTGTGCTTCATAAGAAGTTATTGGTGTCTCATGGGGTCAGTGTCATTGTGCGTTACACTGCTCCAAAATCAGAATACAGTCAGCTTGTTGCTTTTTTTTGTCTGTCATGTCTCGCTATTTCCATGGATGATTCCCTTGCCTCTCAATAACCTCTCCAGCTCTCCTGATTCATGTTTGCGTTGGACATCTGTTCCCCCTCCCACGTACTCTTTGTCGATGAAGACACTGGGAACTGTTGAGATGCCTGTCATGTCGCACAAAACTTTCTGAAGATCATAGCATCAGAAAAGAAGAGAAATTTATGATTTTTTGCTATGCCTGTGTTCAGATTGGGAGAGGAAAATGAGAAAAACAACCCCATTGACACATCCAAATGTGGGAATAACGCCGCTATTCTGCACATTTTCTGCACCAATATGCAGTGTTAATAGGTCTATGTACTGATGATGTCACATTATTATGTGCACTTTCCTGTGGAGCCAGTGGGAGCCCATGGTGCACTGAGCAGCACACTGGGTTCCGGCATCTAAAGGACAATTAAATTCCACGACTTTTCCATGACAAAAGTATGAAAATCCATGACCCAGTAATGCAATTTCTTGGACTATTCAGCCTTTCAAGTTGCGAATACAAACACACGCTTTATGCACTTTTTCTGAGAACAGAAATCAAACAGAGTGTTTGAAAAGTTCCATGACCTTAGTCATTTTTACAAAATTTCCAGGCCTGGAAAACAAAAACAAATTTCCATGACTTTTCCAGGCCATGGGAACCTTGAGCACAGGAAAGTACACAGGTAAACAAAGTGTGGTATCATCAGTATTAAACAGGTTTACTGTAGTCCCAAGCTATTCAAATAAAGTGTGACAAAGACATGGCTTTGTTCTGGCAGTGCACTTGTGTTCAAATTTGCGATGGACTCAACCACATTGTTGTCAAATTCTGCACAATAATTAAAACATGAATGAATAGGGGGGACCTTTTGTAGTTGGGCTGTCTTTCAAATCTTCCCCTTTTGAGTCAAGGTGGGCATCCCTTTGTACCTGTATGTCTTGGACATCTGGCCTGAGTTCAATCTCCAACACCTTAAAGTCTCTCACACCTGCCTCCTTCAGTGTGCTCTTGGCCAGCAGACAGAATGGACAGGTCGATTTGGAGAAGACCATGACACGGTGGGCTTCAATGAGTCCCCTGACCAAACTGTATAAATAGAATACACAAGATGCCATTACTTGCACATTGAAAGCAAAACAAACTTCATTGGCAGGGATTAAAATGTCAATCAACAAATCAATCACTCTCCATTTCACAGACTGGTGTACTGGACAGATGATTTTTTCTGAATGACTATCCACCCATCTTGTTTATAAACATGAGCTAAATGGTAAAAGCACTTCTGGATAATTGAAAAAAAATGGTGGAAAATATGAACAAATTTTAATCACTTTTGAAGTTGTGCAGTGGACAAAAGAGAATCAGCTATTCACAGGAATTTGTAACAGGCAGATCTACCAGATTCATACTCAAACCTTGTCGAAATGGTATGCCTACGTCAATTTGTCATGTTTTCAGGTGATTTGCATTTAGGAATTATACAAGTAAAACGAGACAGCCCGCCCTTATGCAGACTAGTTTTTGATATTTAAATTTACCCCTAGAACTTAGGGGTTCTTGGGGTAAATTAAAATTTTGTGACAATCAAAGCATAAGTGGTCTAATAACATTACATAGAAGACAAGACTGGTCCTCACTAGGGTGAACCATACACTGTCTCTCTTAGCAGGTCAAGGACTAAAATATTAATTTAAAGGTAAAAATTTCATCACTTTTGCCATCAAGTTATATTAAGTAATTCATTTTCCAACAAAGGCCTAATCAATGTTTTGTCTGAAGGCAATTAGGCAAGGCCCTTTTCAATCTAGCAGATCCAATTCCATCCAAATGTCATACCCACCAATCAGGCAGATATTAATCACCCAGATAGCCTACATACATGTAGCCTATCAAGCACTACTTCCAGAACTGTAAGGTTTATACAAACCTTACAGATGGCCATGTACAAACTCCCATAAACACGTTTTGGCCGTTTTGAATGTGCTATCTTACTCTTTCATCACAGCTACTTGTGCAACCAAATTTCATACATGGGGATGTTTATTTACCTTATATCCTCATTAAAATGGTGAAATTCTTGATGAACATTTTCCCTCCCACCCACACTACAGAAAAACAGCAGCATTTAGTCTCAATAATTCTCAGCTGTGTGATAGCTCGAACAATCGTACAGCTACTATCTTTTCCTTCTGTTTTCCTGTCACCCACAGATCATGAAAGCCACAATGTGATTGGCCATATTTGTTTCCATTCCAATGACCAATCAGTTCTGGAAGTAATCAAGCATCATTGCCTAAAAGTATTATCATACACATCATGCCGGTGAATCATTGACATTCATGACGGTTGGCCCTCTGTCTAACAGGTTTAACTAGGCCAAGTACTAGCCTATGATTATGAACAGTCATGACACTGATAAATGAGGAAGTTTGCACAGTTAGCATGGTTCGCCTGACCACAAAGCCTAGACATGCTAGAGTAGAGAGCTTTGTGGGTTTTCATGCTTCATCATTATTATCATCAGTCATGCCATCCCCATCATCATTATCATCTTCATCATTTGTTCAAAAAATGTGTCAACCCTCTCTCGTTCCGATCTATTTCACTCCCATATATAAAAGACTTGAGTATGCCGTATTTGTGTCTACACGTCTTCCTTTTAGTGCCCTCCAATTCCACCTACTTCCTCACGGGCGCAGCCATCTTGTTTGTTGTTTTCAGTAAGGTAGTCTCTTTTCAGCATAAAATAATTGTGAGCCAAAAACCGCCAATAATTAATGTACAGCGTTTCACTCAGTCTAAATCCTACTTTGGTGAAAAAATTCAATCTTATATTTTTCGTCTTATCTTTTATTGTCGTAACTAAATTAATTAAAGTTATGTTTTTGCGGACATGGATCTTTTCAATTGGTGTATCGGGCTGAAAAGAGACTAAAACACTGTTATTTAGTCTGATTTCCGATCACGTCGTGGCGTGACTGGAGGCGGGAATCAGTCTACACCCGCACGTGGCATGGCCGCGGCCGCGGAGGGCCGGGGAGCGCGCATGGCCGGCGCTGCCGGCGCGCAGCCGCCGGGATATTGGATTTACAGACCAGCCATAGAGGGCGCCATATTTGAATGACTCTTGAAGTTGTCAGGTGAAAATTGTCTCAGGATTTGGTAAGAATTAAACGCATTTACTTTGTGTGTAACAATTCAGAATTTACCAAATAAAGTGCTAGGTTGTTGGACCAACATTTAAATGTACCCTCCATGCAGTCTGCAGAAATAAGGCAGGTTTAATGTGTATGTTTGGACCTATGAAATTTACGAGAAAGGGACGGGTATTGCACTCGAGCTACTCGTCTGTTGACCTTGACCCTTTACTTATTAACGGTACGCTGCTCTTCCCTACACTACAGCCACATGCCCATAATTACCGAATTGTTGTTGGCTTTTTCAAGCTCTGTAGTTTTCATAAGCCTTATAGCTAATACTGCATGGGTGATTTTACTCAATGGTAGAAAGACATTGTGGGAAGGAAAAAGGAGCTAGCAAATATTGTTTCTTTTTCCTTCCCACAATGCCTTTCTACCATTGCACAAAATCACCCATGCAGTAACCAGTAGTTGCGATAAGGCTCATGACCACACTCTTCTAGTTTTAAAAATGTCATTGCTTTAGAACGGTCCTCAACAGACAAGTTATTTTTCTACACCAAACAAAATTTTATCACTTCAGAAACACATGAAAAATAGCATGTGTACATGTACCTGGCATTTCCTGCCATGCCGTGCACGGCATGGGCGGTCACTGCATGCAGTGAGCAGTTTAGGCCAAGCTTAGCCTGGGTAAACAGGAAACAGCTGTTGCATCTCAACTCCTGGTGCCGCTGCTGTATTTGCATAATGTGACATTATGGTTTTGGGGTCACAAACTTGATGTCATGATGTTTCGACCTGTCAACGTCAATGTGCATGAACGTATGAAGTCCAAAAATGAGCTCGCTTGAAAAAGTAATATGGGCATGTGGCTGTAGGGGAGTGCAGCGTACCATAGGCCACATTACTGGGGCTACAAACGTACATGCGTGACTGTATAGTCGCCAGGTCCCTTATTTTGCTACTTATTGTGAAAACCAATCAGACTTGACAATAGGCAGCGAAATTAGGGACTTAACGACTATACGGTCATGCACGTTAGTGTTTACCTTTGCATCCATTGACAGATTCGTACTTCCAGAACTGTTAGGTTTATACCTTCATAATCTTAGCTTAGGCCAGGAGAATGAACATCTCGTACGTCCGGACAATTTTAGAAAAACCACGAGGCTTTTTTTCAACATTCATTATTCATTAGTTGGTGAGCATGCCGCATATCCGTAGCGAGTATGCGTCCATGCAAAGGGAACCAACCTTGAAAGTAGACAGGCTCTCAGTCCATCTTGCTTCATGCCATTTGTACACGCACACACTACGAACTCCAGATTTACTTTGCAGCCATTTTTTAACCTTTCTCGACGGGAAAAACAATTTTTCTGAATTAAAAACTGATTGAAAAATATTGAAAATTTTTGGCAGCTGTTTCAGTGGTATGCGGGCGGTTGATGGAAATCCGGGATATTCACTCTCACAGCCTTACAGTTGTGGAAGTAACAGATTCGTTGTCGTAACAGACAGCTCGACTGTTCTGACAACAGTTCAACTTGGACACAAATACAGCTTGACCATCGTCAAAATCTCCCAGGTTTAGGCTAGGCTGACATGATTATCTCTACATTTGGTTATTTGGCTCCTTTGAATAACAACATGAATACAGTTTAGGCAGTCATGACAGTGGATATTTAATTGTCACTGGCAAATTTAACTAGGGCCTAAATGATATTTAGATGTACCTAGTCAGGCACATGCGCGGTACCTTTTTTTTCCTTTCTATTTTCTATTCCTTAAAAATAGGCCTTACTTAGCCTTCATGTACTTCAAGTGGCAAATCTTAGTCTGGCTCTACGTCTACTAGGCCTACCCCAGAACTGTACAGTTCGTTGTCTGCCACGAACCCGGTAGAGAACAAGCATTTTCTGCCATAGGTTGTATGTAATGTTTAGCATGGATTGTGGGATATGTACATGTACCCATAGAAGTACATGTACTGTTTCATTCAGCCAAAAATTTCTCTGTAAGGTGGCTTACACTCCTGTGTACCAAGAAAAAAAAGGTCAAACTTTGCTGATTTTATAAAAACTGTGCAAATACTGACAGTCGTGCGATTCACATACACTAGTACACCCATACTTGTAAAGACAAGCTGCAACCAAGTGGTTGACTAAGGCTGCAGTCGATGTGTACATGTACACATATATTGCTGGATGAAATGGCAGTTGGCCACGGCTTTCGGGAGGGGGGGATCACACAGATTAGTAGCAGGGCTCCTAACTAATTTATGTTCAAGAATGACAAGCAACAGTCAAACAGTTCTTAACAATGTGCAACACCAACTTATCTCTGATAAGGGATTCAAGGACTTTACATTGTATGCTTCTTTAGCTTACATGTACATGTACAAGACAATAGTTCAGATTTCTCTTGCTCTTGAACCTTTCTTTAATAGTGGACAGATCCTTGCATCCTTCTTGTCCTGTGGGATCTTGCTTTTCCCACTTGACTTTTCCAAATCATCTTTGGAGGCATCACTACATGCTAGGATGTACATGTATGTCATCTATTAAAGCCTGGGCACTTGTCACTGTTCTTCCACTTCTCAAGAACGTTAAACTCAGAAACATTACATCACACAATTTGGTAGTGGCTTTACTCTCCACCATTGGCAAATCCCCTGCAGGCTCTTCTCTAAAAGTGACTTGAGGAAGTCACTCAGTACATGTACTTCAGCAGTTTATTAATATCAATGAGTGAGCCATCTACATTGTACCCTTGCCAACTCGGTGATTCCAACTTTAACCTAGCTGCTTTTGTAACAGCTATAAAACCTTTTGGGGCTTTCTTTAAAATCAGAGATGAGTTTATCCTTGTACTCAGCTTTTATCTCTTTGCTTACCAATTTTCTTGTAGCATTTGTCTTTCATACTCTACATAATCTAAGTAGAGTTGGCTTTTCCTAAAGCGTTGCTACAAATAGTTTTTTCATGACTGATTTTCAAACCCTTTCTTTCAGCCACGTACCACATTTATCTTGTCTCTCTTTGGCAAACAGTCTTCAACTGGCAGATGGTATTTCTCCTTCAGGAACTGCCGTGTTACAGTCCTTGTTCTCTGTCTCCTTCCACTCTTCATCTTCAAAATGTTCTGTGTTGAATGACATGTATGATTTCCATGATTGTACTTGTGGGCATTTCTCCTTCCTTCTACCATTGAAATTCCTGAGTAGCACACAGAGGTCCAAATCAAACCATCACAATCACTCTTCCTAAGAAATGGCACATGAAACCAATTTCCACTATACGTGTAAATTCTTTATAAGTTGAAGACCAACTCCAACTGTTTTAAAAATTTTGACAATAAACTGTGATTGCGTTTAGTGTGTAATAAATCATACATTCATTACCCCAATCTGACCACTGGCGGCGCTGTTGAGAACGAAATTTGTATGATGTAATACCGGAGAAAACATTGAGACTGATATCTGTGGCATGAATGGTTCTGCTACAAACGTACATATACATGAACATTGAGCTACAGGTGCATGCAATTTCTTAATAAAGTTCCACTCCTTCATTTCAAAGAAATATTATTCCGGAATTTGCTGAACAACTGTCTTGGGAGGTGAACAATTGCCATGAAGTCATTAATGCCAACCGGGACGTCTATGTGGCTGGAATTAGGCCCTAGTTTGCCTAATTCTCACGGTAACAGATTTGTCCGTCCTTTTCCAAAGTGGTCAAACAGATCCACGACAAAGCTAAATCTGCTGGCTCAGATTTCTGATGCTAGGGAGTCAAAACCGGTCTTGCATCACACAGTCACTCTCCAAAACTCTGTCTTTCTCGAACAAGTCAAAATGACTTCTGACTCTTTATCTCTCTCTCACATAAGAAAACTCCAACATGCATCCAAAGATTCTGATTGTGTTTGATTGCACAATGCAACCTATTCTGAACAAAATACCGTTGTGTAAAACGGGAAGGCGTTTTCCCACTTTGCGAACACCTTCTCTGAATGGCAGAGTTACATCTACGTGGGAATGACGAACAAATGATTGCTAAAACTTTTGGACGATTCCATTATCTTGGGGGTAGATTTATATATACTCAGAATAAAAACAATGAAAGGAACACAGTAAAAACATGATCGGAAAAACACAACATTCAATTCATGCACTGGTTGCACTGTAACACATTCTGTCCTTTAGAATTACTGGGGCAGGTGTATACACCATCAATCAATCACCTTGTCTTTACCATTGTATTTAACCTGACACCAACCTGTGTCCTCAAAGTTCATGTCCTCCGTTTCTTTACAAGGAGACACCTTTATATCCTTAATTAATGTAGAGCAGTACACCTCCACCAAGTTCGCCCCTCCTATCTTTCCATAATAGTTGGTAGCCAGCTGTTACAATTTCAGTATTGGGTACATTACTATTGCACTGTGATTCTGTAATGCCTATGGTCTGCTGTCTTTTCCGTTGCATCTTACTGCTCACCTGTTTTGTCCATGATACTTTTGACATAGCAATAAGAACACTTTAAAAAGTGGTTTTGGCTGACCATCAGCATCTATGCTCAGACCTCCATTCTGTTTGCAGTCCAACAATTCATCAACATTCACATTCTTGTATGGTACTTTACATTACCACCTTGCATAGATATACATATGCTGGAAGGACGCCTTTGTTTATCCATGTTATGCCCTTTAAGAGTGTTTACGACTCTTATCTGAACGAAACTCTTACCAATTACTTATTTTCAAATCCTTGTCCCCCTCATCTTGATGTTCTTTTAGCCCAGCTATTAATCTATCTTGTTACTCAGTAGGTGTCACGTCAGAAGTTCTGTAAACCTTACCAACTTTTCTATCCTCTGAATCTCAAAGTGCCTCATCTGACGAGAGGATTCTCTTTTTGATGCTCAAATCTTGGAGCTTTATCCTGAAAAGCCTTGGTTTACCATCATCTCTTTTTTTTGCCCAACCCAATTGGTCTCTCTATCTTTATATCATTCACAATGCCCCCCCCAAAAAAATCATGACTTCCAGCATTCTAGAAATGTCTTACCTTTTCCAATCCTCTGATTCCTTGTCATCTCCCTTAGAGATATGCAAATAATGCTCACTCTCTTCTCTCACTCCTCAAGCTCATCTAGATACACATATTTGACCTTTTCCTCTGTAATCTCTTCCACTTTTTCTCCTGATTTAGAGTAGCCATTTCAAGTCTTCTTAAACTATCAGTATGGTGATCTACATGTAAGTTCATCAAGGTTAGGACTCTGCAAGATGCCTTTCCAACTTTTTGGCAGAATTTATTGCAGAACCACATCAGAATTTCAGAACTCTTTGCCAATATCCTATATTCTTGTGGAAAAATATTTGCACACGCCTGGTGAATCCACCCCTCACACCCATGGCATAACACAGACTTGCATGTATTCGTATCATTAACAACTATTTTACACTGAATCCAAGGATGGATGCCGCTTGAGTTCGGCCCCTTGTTGTGCTTGTCAGTTAAAACACCACGGGATTCATCACCTGCTGGATGCTGTGTCATCCACACCGTGGCTGCAGACAGCTTGGTATGAGTAGACCTTTTTCTTGTTCTTGTGACTGTAACATAACCTTTGTGCCTGATACTCATGAATGTGGTGGTCTGTGTTTTGACTTCCATACCATTTGTGTCTTTGTGCGTGGCTGAAATGGCACCATGGTTTTTGTTGCCAAAATGTTTCAAAAAGAAACTTGTAGATACCTTTTTTTTCACCGGAATACTGATTACAACATTTTAATGATTTTGGTCAAGTTTGCATAGGTGTATGTGTCTGCAAAATTTTTATAGGATCTTTCAATATGTTGATTTTACTCCATTTTACGATATATTATTTTCAAATCAACATCGCTGATTTAATTATATGAAATCTCGATATTTCAAGATATTGAAAATATCAAAAGCAATTAAGTCATTGACAAACTGGTAAGTCAAGTTTTGCAAGGTTGTTACGTTAGCTTTAAAATGAAGTACAGTGTTGCTGCAACTTGCGTCAATGACAAACCTCTCCATGTTCTTCTGTTCACCGCTCACTGGAATTTTTGGTGGTATCTTTATGTAATCCTCTGAAGAAAATAACCTAATGGTTGCCCGTGCGTCCACAGGTTGATGTGGTAGCTTGGAGCAAACCGAATTGGTCTTGTAGAAATGATTGGAGTGAAATTTTGTTGGTTTCTAGAACTGTCTTTGCTTGTTGCTTTCTGCTTTCCCCTCGTGGGAATTCCCAGAGCTGGAATTGCATCTGGGTGAAACAAGAACTTTCAGCATGCTAGACTGCTGCAGGAATTTGGCTTGTTTTTTTTGTTTCTGGAGTTTGCATGTTCCTTCTCTCGTGTTAATGGCACTTTGATTGAACTAAACGTTTTGTTCGCAGTTCCTTTTGCTGACAAATTTTATTTTCATGGGCTGTCATTTACATTCTCCGTCCCACCTTTGTGTGTATATATATTTGGGGTGCAGTAATGTGAATTCATTATTCCCTGTGACAGCTTATTGAATAATTTGAATACAATGCAGATACTGACTCTGTATTCTATTTTGAGTGTGAAATAAGAGAAGCACTCTACTATCCTTTTCTTGCCACCCATGTACCCGGTACTCTCTTCCCTAACAACAAGAAAATTTTTAAAAAATGAACCCCTCCCAGTGATTGATATTTAGGCTCCAGAACGATCTTGAATGAACATACATAAAGTATTTCCGGCCTCCACCAGCACTGATCAGGCTGCTATTCACAAAGAACTTAGCTGTACACGTACTGTACATGTGATTGCTTATTACCGGTCTTGTTCTAACGTCAGCGACCAATAGTAAGATGGCATGGTAAGGCGACATGCATTCTCTGTGGATACACCTTAGGCTCAGTAAAACAGCACTGTGCTGTCAATGTCACCTTGATAATACAGTTGCCTAGGAGATGCAAGTTCATTCACCCTAGTGTGAGAAAAATATTGCACCGGTATTTTTTTTTCTAATCACCTTTAATTTGGCTGCCCATAAATAGTGCTGTCCATAAAGAGCGATTAATGCATCAGGCAATCATGAATACAAAAAATAAAGCCAGTTCATTCTCAGTACGTTGCCTTACGGCATTGCTTAGTATGAAGAGTGAAAAATTATTTCTCGATAATTAATTGGTCTGGAAGGGAAAACATAAAACGGTCGAGTTATGTCCTTTTGAAGTTATATATGTTGAGCTGCTATTGTCTGGAACAAAATTAATCTTATTCAAGCAACATGCTTTATTTTTGATAGTAACATCTACAAAGAGGATGTATCGAAACCTCGCTTTATTCTCTGTATTTACTGAGGGCTGCACGTAAGACTGAATTTTTATTCTATTTTCAATTCACTACAGATCTGTGTAACAGTGTAATGTTGAATACCACAATGCTTGTTAAGGTGAGCAGACTTTGTGGCAGGTGCGGTCCCTTGACATCTAGCAGTTTCTCTTCACCACGTTCACCTGCCAGTCTTACCTCAACCCAACTCCTCCCTGGGCCAAGCTGCCTCCATCACTGCAAACATCACATATTCAACAAGGGACTTTTTCTGCGGTGGATTTCATCGGATTCGTCTCATGCCCCGCAAGTTCTCAGCAGTCACAGAACAGTCACGTTCACATGTAGTCCAGTTCACCAGTATTCACTCCTTAGAACAGTGCACAAGCTACACCAGATACAGCATTGTCACAAGTTTACGCATTCAGAGCTTCACAGACTGCCCAAGACACTGAGTGTAAACCATGCTGGGTGTGGTCACAGTTTAGGGTGTGGTCACAGTTTAGGGCGTGGTCACAGTTTAAAGCATGACAGGCAGACCCAACGCAGTATGAGTGTAATGAGTTCTGTGGTGGAGGCGGCACCCAGTAGAGTCCAGCCGTATCTCAGACTGATGAGAGTAGACAAGCCAATTGGTAAGAAACACACACACAGTTGCTGGAGTACGTTGTAAGTCCAAGAGGATGAATGTGGTTCAGGGTATGAGGATGTAGTCTTAAGCAAAATCATCTTTGTGATCAGAAAGAAACAAGGACAGCCACTTTGCATGGAACCCTGGAAACTAGAATGATTTTACCATGTTAACTAAACATCATTCTGTGTGGGATCAAAAGAAAAATCGAATATCTTGTGCTATAAAACAGCCATGAAATAGTCTAGACTCCAAAAGAATTTTGGGTATGAAATACCTTCTTGAATTCTCCAAATCCCTCGTGAAGGGAATCTGAGAAAAAATAGTTTACAATAGATACGCTTCTTGCTGTAAAAGTACTTGAGCTCACTCCTCTATCCTGCAAAATCTATTAAAACCTAGTGGGTTTTGAAGGATCTGGGATGGTTGGGATTGCAAAAACCATTGCTCTGCATCATTCACCTTTGCTTACCACATGCATTGCATGCACCCAAAGAACTTTTGTTGGCTCTTTGCACACCAGGGACTTGGCTGTGCTATTGGCCCAGTGCTTGGGGCATTGCTCTGGCTGCAGACCCAGGCCAGTTCCCCAGCCTTACATGCTGGCCTTGTGTGGCCTAGGAGCTCTGGTGGTCAGAGGGGCTGGCTGTACCATCAACGACATGTGGGACAGGGACTTCGATAAATCTGTGAGTACATTCTCAGAACTGCAATTTAGTGAGTAGTCTTTAAACGGTTTCATTACGACACAAGTGTGAAAGCTTACTGACAGGTTGTTTTGTGCTTAGTGAACACACATGCATGGTTTGCAAAGTTTTAGCTATAGGAGAAATTGTTGATTTGGTCATCTTAGGATTTGCTTTTCAGATCTTGTTAAATCAATTCAGAAGCTCACTTAAGTGGGACTCAAGCTCTAGACCTCTAGCTTAATCATTTGGGAATAGCAGGCTGACTTGAATCTGAACATCAAAGTTATTGTAAACAAACTTGCTGCACCGTGATGTAAAACAAAGCTAAAATCTGTCAAAATTTGCTGATGACATGTACATGTAGCATACCCTGTTGGTTTCAACAAGGAAATGAATTCAGTGAAAGTAGCCAATAGTTACAATTTGTTTTTCTATCAAAGGTTGAGCGGACACGTTCCAGACCCATAGCATCGGGTGACATCAGTCGTGGCCGGGCATTGGTATTTCTAGCTGCTGAGCTTGGCGTTGCACTGGGAATTTTACTGACTCTGAACACGTACTGGTGAGTCTCTCGTTAGTCGTAAGTAGGAGTCCCAAGATTTAAAGTTGTTGAAATATGCAGCATGTGTGCAACAAACATTAAGTCCAGCATTTCTTCTTGGATGAAACCAGAGTTGGAAATGCTCAACCTTATAAATAACGGTTTCAAACTGGAATCACTTTCGGTTGCAGAGATTTAAATCAAATCTCCTTTAACATCTAAGACGAGACTTCAAAGAATATCCAGGACTTCATTTTTGCCTTGCGGAATTTGGGTCGCTAAAATCAGTTACATAATTCTTTTACATGTTTTTCTAAAGTGAAGATCTCAGTAATATGTTTGAAATCGACATGTGTTTGATCATATATCAGTCCGTGGATCGTTTTTGGGGACATTAACGTCTTGGTAAAATAAACTCAAAACCTTGACTGATTGACGTGGATATACTGACTATCCTGGATGTATTCTTGGTTTCTGTGCATCTTTTCCTCTCTACAGTGTAGTTCTTGGATGCATTGCTGTGGTACCCATCGTCATTTATCCACTCATGAAGAGGTTTACATACTGGCCTCAAGCTTTTCTTGGTGAGCACAAGTGAAATTCTTAAGTATTTTTTCATTTGAAACTTTGCAGCATTCGGCATTGGGTATTTCTTGATGTTTTTAACTGAGGTGATTTAGTGAACCTTTCAAATATCTTTCTAAGGAATCAGCAGGTGAAATTGGAATACGCTGAAATTAAGAATCCATAAACCAAAAGTTGAGTTGGTCCGGTATGTCAACAGTGCATACTCAAAATGAAGTGCGTAACAGCAATCCATTTGTACAAGGTCACCCCTATCGGTAAAGCTACAGTATATGCCATTTCACTCACACTGAAAAATGAATTGGTTACTTTTCCATCAGGTCTGACATTCAACTTTGGCGCTTTGATCGGCTATGCAGCTATCCACGGGTCATGTGACTGGAGAATTATTCTGCCATTGTATGCCTCATGCATTGCCTGGACCATAGTGTACGACACCATTTATGGACATCAGGTTGGTAACTGTCGTCAGTAAGCCAGTTCGGTATTCCCACGGCGCATCCCCAAAATGAAACAGGTCCAAAGTCGTTTGGATGCCTGTGCAAAGTCTGTTTAATCAGTGTGGCCTTGTGCGAACTTGCTTGCGTGCTTTGTTCTTGATTGACTTTGCCGTTTTGAAATACCGAACTGGCTCAATTGCAGCTAGTGGATGCTGCTCACTATTCTACAGAGCATGACAAATGACACAGAAAGCTGTTTCTCTTAGATACTCTAACCATCCTCAGAATTTATAATGTAGGAGGCTGACTCCATCAGAATCAAATAGCTTGAAAAAAGGCCTTTCATTACAAACAAATTCCAGCAGAGTATTTTGTACTTTGTCACACTGTCTTGGGAAGCTCTCCGGTGATGGAAAAATATTGTACAAACGAGTTTATGTCCCACGATGAAGTCGAAGGTATACTGTTTCGACCATTTCCTTCTGTGTGTCTGTCTATGTGTGGGTGTGTATGTAGGTAGGCCATCACCCCCATTAACCACTTCATGCTAGGCAGTTATCAATGTTGATGATGCTGGGGCGGGATATTTATCATTTTTTTTCTTTTTCAAAATTCTTTAAAAATTCCTATCTTCATTTACTGCTCTAGCCTGACCGACAAAATCTACGCCGGAGTATTTCAGCGAGGCCTGCAGCCTTGTGTAAAGAGCCCAGATTGTGCGTTGTTATATAACTTTCTTTTGTTCACGAACCTGGCTCAGTGCACTGCTTACGTCTTTTCAATAGGGGCCAGATTAGCATGCAGTGGTGCTGTGTGGCTCATCACTGCGATGGTAGAATGCTTTTGGCCCCGGTGGTAATCCACTCACTCTAAATGTCCCGAACCGTGGTATACTGTTTCAAAACAGGGCTGGATTATCTCCACTTTTGAGAGTGAAAAATTGTCGGTAATGCCCAGCAGCCTGGTCTTTTGTTCCGAGTACAAGGCCCTGTTCACTTTGTCCGAGTTCAGAGACCCCAACCACGCATATAAAGCGTACGTATCCAGAATCCCCGGCAGGAAGTGGTTAAGGGGACAGTTTCTTTTTTTTTGGAAATTCAAGACTTTGTGGTTGGGATAGAAATTGCCTTGACTTCACCAATACAGTCAACTCTCGTTATTATGAAATAAGCCATAACGAAATTCCAGTTATAACAAACACAAATCTGTGGTCCTGGCAGAAACTTCTCTAGAAAACATCTCTATGGGGAAAAAAATCTGTTACAGCAAAAATCGCATTGTAAGAAATTTCTGTTACAATGAATGGTTTTCGTGACTCCGTTGCCTGAAAAACCATTGTTGAAGACCCATTTATAACAAGCGTTTGCGAATCGCGGTGGTGAAAACACGTGTGCAGTGCATCACACTGGTTCCCGCTGGGCCGAACCATTGCCAAAGAAGGTATGAGGGAAATGCAGCAACCAGTCAATGTACAGTTCCTGCCAAAAAGGGTCGCGAACGTTCCACTATATGTACATAAACCTCGTATACGAATGCAGCTCTACAGTTGTAAGTCGAAAAAACACTGCCGTCACAAATTTTTGTGCAAGTTTATTCACAAAAATTGATCTCATGTCTATGTTTGTGTTTTCTGTGTTCATGAATTTAGTTTGAGGTTGTACTGCTTGTACTCAAGCGAGCGTGATTCCACAAAATTTCCTGCTGCAGCACGAGGCTTATCGCCCACCCCTCCAGATGCGTCACACTCTTACAATGCGATACACAGACATCGTTTGCCAGTTTCCTGTAGTCATGACAAATTTAAAGCACAATTAGAAATCAATGATTTTTTACATTGATTACCCAAAGTCAAACCAAAAATTCCCTTCCCAATTCCGATAAAAATACGCCCAAATAAGTTTGCTTGACTACCCTCACATCTCAAGAGCCCAACTAATCGCCCAACACTGAATTCATATTGCTGCAAAAAGATCTAGCGGACCCGCCAATGAGACTGTGCATTTTCATGACTACATTTTGCAAGACACAGCTATCCAATCGCAATATTCCTTCATGACATCAGCCACCATCTCGTGCGCAGGCGGCCGCGCCACAGTGGGCGAGTGAACTCGGACTATGGATCAATCTTGTCATGCAGCTGGTGTTGAAAATCATAAGACAGATGGAAAATTAAATAAAAATGTCTCTCCATGGCACAATTTGTGTTTGAAAGACTACTTACATGGATGGGGCTCCAGTTGATGAGTCTTCACATTTTGCAAGTACACCCAGGCCTACATGTGCATGCCATTTAGCCTCGTCGTCATCCATCAAAAGCCCTTTAAAAATCCCTGGATCCATGCTTTCACAGGTAATGCTTTTTTTCAATCTGACATGCACATTAAACATGTTTTCATGTGACAGTGAATTGTATTTAAATTTTATTATTCTAAACACATCACAATATATTTGATTAATTATTACCAAGAGATCTTTTGATATAACATCAACCATGTGTTCATGTATATGCACATATTGTACATGCATACATGTACACGTGCATATGCGCATCGTACATGGCATTGTACAATAATGCACCAAAGCCGTAGCACTGCGTTCCACCTACAACGAATTACAAACATTTCTACGTGGTCCCGCAGATTTCGAAATAATGAGAGTCGACTTAGTTAATTGCAACATAACTCTATGCTTCAGCTACACTGGCCTCTTTTGTGGGGTTTGTGTTTGTGTTTGCAACCATACTAAATCGAGTAAGCAGGGCCAACTTAAGCAGGTGTTGTAATCAGTGAGGCCTGGCTGTTCTGATAAATGGATGTCTTGTGTCCAACTGCATAGTGGGTCAGAAGAAAAGTTGAAGATCAATTGCTGTATGAATTTTCTGTTATATTTCCATTTCGATGAGGCTGTGATGGGCGTGTTCATTTCCATTTTGATGAGGCTGTGATGGGCGTGTTCATTTCCATTTCCATGAGGCTGTGATGGGCATGTTCTTTTCCATTTCGACGAGGCTGTGATGGGCGTGTTCTTTTCCATTTCGATGAGGCTGTGATGGGCGTGTTCATTTTCATTTCGATGAGGCTGTGATGGGCGTGTTTTTTTCCATTTGGATGAGGCTGTGATGAGCGTATTCATTTCCATTGACATGTACCGGTATGTGTACCTAACTGAGATCAGCACATACTGCGATGTCATTTTTTTCTGCAGAAATCTGCTTTACAACAAAGCATGTCTTTGTCTATCACTTTGAGGCATGGAGTCAGTTCCAGACCACAAGAGCAAATACAAGAAGTTGTTCCTGACATTTTAGCTACTACATGTACATTAATTTACGCTTTCTTGAACAAAGAACTAGAGATATCATTGTGAATGAAGAGAACATTTCTTTGCGTTAAAATTGAATCCGAAATATGTCCTTTTCCTGGCCCATCATCAGAGTTGTTTCATGTAAGATGTACTTGAGGTACCAGACCGTTTGTAATGTACAGGGACTACACATCAATTGAAGAGGAAACTGAAACATTTGGTTGTACCTCTGTACATACAGTGTACGTGTCAAGTTCATTTGACTTCCATCAGCCCAATTTCCAGGTTGGTCTGCTCTTTCATCTCTTCAATTCTACTTCACAGCAGTCTCAGTCAATTAGTGACACAAGCTGATTTGTGGAGTCTGTGCAAACAAGCGTTAAATGAACCTATCAGAAATACATTAGCTTTGGACAGTCATCATGAGACTAGATCCTGCTGTTGTCTCTTTCTTTCATTTTGTTGAACTGTGCAGAATTTTTAAATACTGATAATTTTCACAGATCTCATGTTAAAAGCCTAAGTAACTTTAATGCTTGCCACTCTATTCACTGTGCATGTCCAATTTTACACAAACACTAGGCAGTTACTATTTTGCAAACAGGATATGGTTCATGTATGTACAATATACATGATACTGTATTTTAATAGAAATGCTTTAAAATGATAGTCTGTGCTAGCCAACGATGTTATGTTTTGCAATTCTCTGAATCTACTAATATGAAAAAACAAGACTTTTTACAAACTTCTTACACGTGATTTCAGACATACATGCATGTAAGTACTGGCTACATGAGAACATGAATATTTTGGTACAGGACAAGATATATCAATCACATACATTACATTCGAAGCATGAAATTACACGCTGAAATCATTTGAAATTGTAATTATTCTTCAAGTCTGTGAACATTGCAGTTTCCTATTATCACTCCAAATATTAGGCACAGAGTACAAAGTGGTAGCCGCAAATGAAAACATGGCTACATACAATGTAAGTGTTCACTTGTACCAGTCTTATCCATTGCAGTCTTATTTTTCTTCTTGAATGAACAATGACTGCAAAATACTGCCTTAAGAATCTGTCAAAGGTTTGATTTACTTCATGTGATTTCCACCCTTCCTGTCAAACACGTAGACCATTCAACATACATGTACACTGTTACAGTTAATTCTTAATTAAGTTACTGGTTGGTGTCTGGTTTCCCTAATTATGACATCAGCTAAAATTATTCACACTCAGTGCCTATCTAATTTACATTTAAACATTATATCAAATTTCTCAGAATCTGCCAGGAATATTTTACTTACAAATAATGATCAGGCGATTGGCTGTATTCTAGACTTTGCCAAAATGTCAGACAAATTCTGTTTTTAAGCTTTTCAGTTTCTTGCAAGTTTGATGGAGACTTTGATGGAGACAATCACATGACAATCACATGACTTCTACAGTAAATTTGAACTTGGTTGTTACATCACGGTATTGTATATGAAAAACGGCATTGTTGTTCAAAGAATCCGCATATGTGATGACGTTCACAGTTTCACTTTGCAGTTTGATTCATTGCTTTAGAAGGATTTACACATTTCTGTTTGGAATCAGTCCAGTCTGTAATGGGCACAGCTGTCCACTGTAGTAACAAACTTGTCAGTATCAACCTGGGAAATGGTGACATTGTTGAGATGATTCAACCCTGACAGGTTGAAGGAGCGGCAGTTGGGATCCTTGTAGAAGGCCTTGCAGCATTGTATGGGATGCTTGATGGGGATGACCATGTAGGCGTGGTCCTGTAGACAGTAAGGTGTGGTCCGTCCAGTGTCTTGCTTGATTATGCCTTGGCAGTGAATGTATCCTCTCTGGTTGTAAAGTTGTTTCTCACATACAACTCGTTTTCTTTCTGAACAAGATGTTCTCCAAAACGTTGATTTGAAGGGACTCCATGATGCACATGTCTGTTCTTTTTCAAGCATTGCTAGTGTGTTGGTTATCATCAGAGCACACCCGCCTGCAATCTATCTCCTTACATCCCAGCCAGATTCGATAAGAAGATTTATTCTGAGGGAAATGTTCTTTGGCCATGCTGCTGACAAAGTCTGCTTCTTGTTTGGAGTTGAGAACAAGAAGTTGAGCACCCAGGCTGCTACAATTCTTATAAGCATCAAGCCAAGGAGTTTTGAGCTTGTTCTTAACGAACTTGATATAACAAGACTGGTTGTAGTATATCCATCCTTGTGCGCAGCTCATGCAGATGGCATCAGTGCTGTGGATACCAACCATCAGAGCAAGCCAGCTTCCCAACAAAATGCTGTCAATCTTCAGAGGCATTGTCATATTTTGGACTGAAGTAAAGAATCCAATGGCCTGATCATAAATGGATATCCACAGATTGACTCTAAACCTGTAGTTATGTAATTAGATTGGTGTGTCTAGCGCAAAGTCAAGTTTTGCATCTCAGTACAGGGAGGATTCCTTGTCTTGTTCGTATGAGCTGATGCATCATCACATTTCTCCCCTCTATCAAAGGTTGTTTGTATTTGCTGTGAGACAATTGGCATGGAAACCTCCTCATCACATTTTATGATAGGCTTGCAATATGTAGAACTCGAAGTCACAGCAGTATTGACCAGTGTCTGACGTTCTGGTGTGTTGCAGCGTTTAATTAACTGGTAATCAGTTATGCTCCAAATAAAACTGGCCGTCTCTGTCATCTGAAGGTCTTGTAAATGTAGACAATTGAGCAAATATGTCTGATTAGCGCAGGAATAACAGTAGTCCTTGCATCCTTGCTCTCAATTAAACTATAAACTTCAATTCCAGTGAGAATCTGAAGGAGCCAGAAAAATTACCGGCCATTTGGAATTTTTTCCAGGCAAACAAACAGTACCCTCAGGTACATGTAATTAAGGTTTGATATTTGTTGTGAAGACTAAGAAGCAGAAAGCGGTTTTGAGAACCACACTGTCCTTCAAAATTGGATGAATGCCTTCTGTCCACTCTTTTAATTGAACGTCAGTCATTTGAGGAAAGATCTTCTTGTAGTCTGTGGGCAGAAGTTACATGTATTTTGTAGCTGGTTAGATGTAATAGAGGTGATGTAATGAACAATTGTTGAAGATGGACTGCTAAATTTTATTCTGATATGCACAGAAAAACAATGCTATACCGACCATTGCTACATAGACCAGACATTCAGGCCTACTGAACATCCCCCATGGCTCCTATAGGTTCTGTGCACTTTGATGAGCATTGGAATTTTGCTTTCCATAAAACACATGTAGGACCGCAAAGTTAAGTAACATTTTACTCCTAAAGGAACAACAGCCACTGTGCTTGCAGTCTGTAGATCCTTGTGGGTATGCATGTGTGTATGTGCACCGGTGGCCAAAGAGACCAGCCGCTGAGTATCTTTGCATGCAACATGGATGACTCAGATGCAGAAATTTGTGCTTCATGTTATTGTTACAAAGGCAAGGTTTTTTTCTTTAGAAAACTCAACAAAACAGAAAATGCCCATGCAGGTACTGTAGATAGCTTTTGTGACTTGTAGACACCTTCACTAAATATTTTGCTAGTTTGGATCGTTTCTAATCTTGTCTGATTGTATGTATTTTCAATGTTGCTGACTTTGACTACCGTACGTACTATTCACCCTGAGCTGAAGTGCACCCTCACCAGCAAAAGAAAGACAGATAGTGCTAAGTTTTCCAATCGGGTTCTTGTACGCATTCCGCGTGCACACAAAGACATATATTCCAGACTAAATTCATTGCACGTACTCAGCGTGTGCTCCTTGTCAAATGCGCATAAATTTGCACGCCTATGTGGTGAATGCATACCAAAGGACTGGCAATTTCATTTCAAAACACGCCTTCTTGTGTTTGTGCTCAGAGCGAATTGTGGCTCCATTGCTATAGAATGGTTGCCAGCCCATCGTTTATAGTTCCATTTCAGTAGTGAGAACTAGTGTAACTTTACTGCATGTCACATACGATTTTCATGCGATGACTGAAGAAAAACTGAAGAGGAAATCTATTTCATCTCATGATTCCACTTCCAGTGAGAACTACCTGAAATAGGAAAAATGGAAAGAAATGAACATACCGGACAAAATGCAGGACTTTTTCTGTATTTTTTACTGTACTTTTTGCATTCGAAAAGTGTTAGCCCAAAATCTTCATCCCAGTACAGCTTGACAAAGTACAAAAGTTCCGCTGGATTTTGGTTAAATGTACCATGCGGGCACAGGTTGACGCAGGCTTGATGTACATACATGTAGACCCCATTCAAACCACACCAAGCAGGAACAACCAATTTCTCTCGCAATGTATGATCTTTATATGTACGTCAGGTTTCCTCTTAAAATGTCTCCACCTCTATCTCTTCTTTGTCACTGAGGGAATACCTGTACATGTACTTCTACACAGAGAGGATAACTGGAATAGTTGTTGGTTGCCCCACCTGATGTAATTGAGCCCTGGTTGGGGTATGTCCAGTCTGAATTGTATTCTTACTCTCTGTTTTCCAGGATAAGAGAGATGACTTGGCCCTGGGTCTGGGATCCACCTCCATCCTGATGGGAGAGAACACCAAGTATTGGTTGACAGGCTTTGGTGTTGCCATGGTGTCTGGTCTGGTGCTGGTGGGTGCTATGGCAGAGCAGACTGCAGCATACTACTTAGCTGTGGCTCTAACTGCTGGTCACATTGGCAACCAGGTAAGCAGTGTGGCTGTTAAAACGAAATTACTCAGTCAGTGAATGAACTGTTTTGCTTCTCGTAGATTTGTTTAGGGCAAATTGGAGTGTGAAGCTGAAATAAAACCAGCAGTGAACACCGTAACCAGTGCACATGCGCAGTACAGTCCCACTCAAATGACCTGTAGTCAAACTATGTTGTGATCTCCCATTATCGCTCACATTTTGCCATTGGGTATCTTTTGTGGCATTGGTCTCTGCCATCTTGCACACCATGTTTAATGTGGTTGTACAATGTATGTACATGTAATTTTGCAAAAAGGCTATTGATAAACAACAGTGCAACTGTCGAAGGGCCTGGTTTCAAATGGTTGACTAGATAAATCTGCCATTCACAATTTGAGTGATGTGGGCCAAACTGGTGATGTGGTTAATTATTGCTGTTGGTCGACCTTCACCTACATTGTAAGCTATCAGCTTGTCTGTATTTGTGTATGCTTGCATGGTCATTGACTTTATTAGATATTTCTCTCTTTGTTCTAAAGTGATGGAAGATTAAGTAGAGCTAGGAGTTGGCTTATCAACAGTCCACAAGTTGAGAAACTAGACATCAGTTCCAGTTGGTGTCTCTCCATTTGGCATACATGTACATTTCCTTTTCCAAATTGGAGCGCACAAAACCCAAGGTCACAATTAGTTCATGTGCTTTATCTCCCCCCAGGTGTGGACAGTCGATATCCACAATCCCCAGGACTGCTGGAACAAGTTCCGCTCCAACCAGCGACTGGGCGCCATCATCTTTGCCGGCATCGTCGCGGGGACTCTGGCAAAAGTGTCCAGTAGTGAGCAGCGCAAGGCAGCAGAACCAGAAGATGGTGAAGAGCAAGCTGTTGCCAGCTGACAGGAGGAATCACTCACCCCTCACCCAGACTACCAACTGCACCAGGATAGTGGGAATTTTGCTGTGCCTGAATGCCGTAGATAGTTGTGCCCTACAATCCCGAACTGTGTGATGAGAAAGAAATTCGACAGGTTCCCCCGGTGGACTTTTAATCGTTGTGCTTGGTCAAGGGATTCAGCCATTGAAATGCAAAGAAGAAACCATCTAATGACTCAGTGTCAGTCGCAAGGAAATGGACACTGGAGACAGCAGCAACAGGGGACAGAAGTGTGGCATGAATTCTCACAGAGTCCAGTAACTCTGCCAGAGGGGGTCAAAATTGGCACAAATGCGTCATAGTTGTCATGCATTTTGGCCCCGAAATGCTCTCACATGTATTCTCAAAATTCTGCAGAGTAAAAAAGGGCCATAACATCAACCTTTCCAACTTCTACAGTTGACAGTGACATTGAAGAAACCCACTTGCACAGGGAGTTTGTTTAAACCTTTTTGATGACTTGCTAAATTTCACGTTTTTCTAAGAATGGAGGAAAACATTCTGCTGCAGCTGGTGGACAGTGCCTCTAAACTTGAAACATTGCAAGAGGAAGACCACCTCTGTCCCCTGTCCTTTTTTATTTCCTTAGAATCAGCCCTCCTTGAAAATTAAGAAACTTACATTCTGTAGACAAGAAGCCAAGCAGATGAAAAATTTAACTGCGAGTTCCTCATCGTAATCGAAAATAATTTGTGTTATCCAAGCCAGAAAGTCAAATATCTCTTAAACACAGTTGAATAATGCAAAGTGTTGCCACTATCCCCTGCATAATTGGGATTTAAGTAGAATGAAGGGAAGGCTGGTTCCTTTAAATTTTCAAATTTGTTTTTAGAAATGAATCGAGTTAAAATGGTGAAACAGCCAGTGCAAGATCGGTAAAGAATGTTATTTTGATTTTCAAAGAGACATTAGCACATGAAAATACATGAGTAGTACATATTGTACATTCATCTTATTGGGTTATTGTGAAGAGTTCCAAAAACAGGAATATTTTTACAAAGTTATGTCTGAAATTTGCTGTAAAAATGGAACTGAAAAAAAATGCTTGTATGTGTAAATGCAATGTTATTTGGCTAACAAGGTTATGATAGATACCCAGTATTTTTAGGTCCAGTCAAACAAAAGAACACTTTGACACCGTTTGAAATGTAAATTCTAGATTCCACATGATAGGAATTGCCATTTTGAAAGCATCATTTGCTGTCATATGTAATGGCTTTCTGTTCGTCTGTTTGCTCTTTCAGAATTTACCGATCTTGCATGTGGTTTCTTGAGCATAATTAGCACTGACAATATTGATACAAGTTCATCTGCAACTACATTTCTTCATCAACAACCCTGTCCTCCCCCTTCCCCAAACTTGCAGAAAAAAAATGCAAATTTGATTGTATTTTGCCCAGAGCATCAGTTCTGTGGATCCTGACATCCAGTACCACTGGCAATTAGTAGTAGTATTGCAAACATGCTGACCAACCTGGAAAAAATCTGACCGTTGAAAGATCCCTATTGAGATGTGGAGATATTCATGTACTGAACCGCAGAGGTCAAAGATCATTCCAACTTCAAGTGTTAGCTGTGATCTCCCCTGTTGCCTTTATTTTTCTCAGATACGATCAAAACTAAACTACACGTAAACATACTTTTTGAATTCGTAAACATGCATGATGTTGGTATGTCAGTGCTGGTTTTGCTCATGATATTCAATATGTTAAGAATTTGGTATTAACAATGCATATCTTTGCATTTTATCACCAGGCAAACCGAAATAAAAAACCAAAGCCCAGCCACATGCAGGCCCTCCTGGTGCGTGCACGTGTGTTCCCTGCCCGCAGACGCTGACAGGTTGGTGGTTGCCCGCTATCTGCATCGGCTTGTGAATCGGCTGTTGGTGATGTATGCAACCTCCCAAAATCTTGTGAGTCTGGGTGATTGTGGATACCTCAGTAGACAGCAACATGGTAAGGATCCTCTGAACTTTGGCAATTGGTCAATTTGTCTACCAAGCAGATGTTACATGTCCACTGCTCCAGGGATGGCAAATCAAGAGAATACTTCTGCGCCTGCTCCGCCATTGGTCGCCTGACATTTCAAGAGTTCTCATTCATCAGTATCTTCGATCTGAGAAAAATGAAATTTTCAGCATCATTTAATTTTTGTGAACTTTCTAGGATGTTGTACAATGCCTTTTGATGTTTGACAATTGCTTGGCCACATTTATCCTGATACTTCCACAGTGTAAAGCCGAAATCTCACTCTGTTGTATTTGCCTATTTAAATTCCAAATTTTGTAACTTTTACTTTCAAAGAAACAGTATACAGTAAAGAAAACTTCATGTAGTAAACTCATTGAAAAGAAGATGAAGGTATAACCAGACACCCTTGAATGAGGTATTCATGGCTTTGGTAGCATACACACATTTTTGATAACCAATACTTTCTTCGATCTGCATTTGCAAGTAAAATTACAAATGATCAACTGTCATGTTTTCAACTCTCAACGAGAATATTTTCATGAAATACATGAAAGAAGCTTCCCTGAAGAGAGAGTTTTTCTCTAGTACAAGTCTTAAGTGGGAAAGTGCCATCAACTTTATCAATTATGCGTCATTTTAAAATATGAAGATAACTATAAAAAGGAGAAACAAAGAAAGTCAAACTCGAAGTTCTGCAGAGAGAGTTTGGTTTGCTAGAGAGAGAACCACACTGTTAGGTTGCTTGGTGGACGATGCATCCAGGCCATTCACTCAAATCACAGGAGTCGCACTCAGTCGCGTGGATTGTCCCCACTAAAGACAGAATGTCCACAGTGTTTGGATAACCGCACTGTACATGTGCCTTTGAACTCACTGAATTGTCTGAGTGTATTGAATTAGAGAATGCCATAAACTTTCTCACCCCTGAAAGATACATGTAGAATAGAATGCCTTCCTAAAACATAAAAGAGGGGCACTGTAATGCAGTGGGACAAAAAGTGAATCTGGGGCCTGCTGCTGTCAAAAATGGGGTGAATGGCCAGGGAGATTGGGTAGCAATCTGCCTCTCAGTATCCTAAACAGAAACTGTGGCATCGACACGGGGAGCCAGTCCCGGCTACAAGGTCCATGGTAAGTTTAATTGAAGTTTGTAAAATTGATTCATGCACTGGTGTGAACAAAAATGGTTGTACATCCTGATATCTTACTTGCTAAACCCAACTTTGTATCTCATGGCTAGGAGTAGGACTGTAGTCTGTATGAACAAGGTGGTAATGTGCAGATGGTCTTCAGTCTAAGGCAATATGAAGTGGCGTAGCAACTGGGAAGGGGGAGGGATAGGGAACCAGACCTTCTGTAAACTGGTATATTTGTTGGTTGATCTACCAAAGTAACAGACATCCACTTAGTAGTCAACTAACTCCACTTAACGAAATGCACCCAGAGCTGCTAAGTATTGATGGACAAGAAAAAAAATAAATTTGAGTTTTAGTGATCCCTTTCAGAAAAAACAATCACTTGACAAATTCCTCAATCAACAAGAAATTGTCAAAGAGTAAGTTTGTAGTTAACTTCAAGTGTGAATACAAGGAGTTCTTGAAAAATACCGGTCTTCAAATTGTGTTTTTTTAACCCACTAAGAGGCCATTTTCGGTCCCATGTATTTTATTCCAGTTCCTTTGGTACCATCCAGGGTGAATATTGCTTTTTATTCAAGTTCTGAGGACTCGAGAACTCTAATATTTCATGCTCAGATTTTAAAATTTTGTTATTGAAAAATTACACAGCTGATGAAGTTTACAGATGTAGATCCTCCCTCCCCCATAAACCCAGGCTACGCCACTTACTAGCAATGAACAGAGTCATCTCCTGAAATCAAAGAGCTGACTTGCCAGAAACTTGCTTGGCATTGTACAAAATGGTTTCTGCACAGAACTTGATCGATGCATTGTGCTGCAAATGATGGTCTGGCCTGAGCTTGCAAAATACTTGTTCCACTTCAGGCGAAGATGTTCTTGACTTTCTGAGGGGAAAAACCCATTCTATGGCTGGAGATCCAAGAGGGTCAAGCCAAGTAGAGAGCAATGCCGTTGCTGGCATAACGTGGCCTACTGACAGTGTTTACACCAGAACTTCTCAGGGGAAAAACCCATTTTCTGAGGGG